TATTCCTTACTGTATAAAAATTATATAGCAGTATGACTATCTAGCCATTCGAATTTTAGTATGAATGTCACAATTATAGGTAAGCTTAAATTCCTTGACGAAATCGAATCCATACAAGCAGAAGTTGCAAAAATGGAAGGCGAAGAAATAAATAAGATTATAGCACTGGGGCATTCTGGTTGGACAAAGGATCTCGAAATTGCTGAGAAAGTCACTGGGCTTGATCTTGTCGTTGGTGGACACAGCAATACATTTTTGTACAATGGTAAGATAATTCTCGATAACTTGAGATAAAAAACACATTTCCAAATTTTCTCAAATTATATTGCATGTTCCCATGAGAATTCCGATTGATGTGTTCAATTAAAGTGCGCATTAAATTTAAGTACTCACGGATGTTGTACGTACGAGTATGTAGCCGTACTCGGTCTTTAGTCTAGCTACAGTATCTTGTGACCCCCTTACCACTGCAAATATGTGTGAGAAAACGATGTGCGGTCAAGTAGAGGGGAGGGGGTCAACGAGAAGTGTAGCTAGACTAGTGCTTATTTTCCATCAGAGGAAAGTGCGTTATACTCGTGTGGTGCATAGTACTGGAGTATTTAAATACAAAGACTCACACATTTGAAGAATGAACCTTTTATAATATATCAATTTTGATTCTGAGGCATAAGTTACCACTCATGTTAAAAAATTTATGCAAAATTAATCGTTATACAACCTTATACTAGGAGTAGTACCGGGGACTCCTGAAAATGGCCGAGTCGAAGGGCCATATCCAACTATAGTGACACAGACATCAGGGGCCAAAGTACTGGCTGTACAGGACTTTCAACATGGAAAATACCTGGGTTACTTAAAGGTCTCATTTGATGACAATGGAGTTGTGACATCTTGGGATGGAAACCCTATATACCTCAATGCATCCGTTGCTGAAGGTATTAAGAATAAATGTCCACATCATGAATTACATCACATAAAGCGTCCCCGTGTTCTCTTAATGTGAAGAAAAAATTGACGATTTACGTTAAGAAGAAAGCCAATTTCTTATGACCAGAGGAACAATCAAACCAATCTGGTTTAAATAGAGGGCTCTCATATATGAATCATATTCAAGATGTATAGTGTAGTCATTTTTTAGATCCAGAAATGCTAGCAAAGATGGCACCGTTTGTTGAAAAATTAGTGAAATTCAAAAATACGATACTCGGTTCAACCAACGTTTTGTTAGATGCAGATACGTTATCTTGTAGGTAAGTATACATCCTTCTTGCTTTAATATCAGGTAATTAATTTGTTAAGACATTTTATGAAGTCTTTTCAAAAATCACTTTTATAACAGACGCTATGAGATCCGTTAATATTTACATAATTTTTATGTACAACTCTCAATGTTCTCCAACTAGTTACATTGACGTTATATCATAGTAAAAAGAAGTAACTACTCTCAAATTCGAGCTCGGTACGATTTTTTTCGATTTAACTATTTACTTGTATAAGTCAATTTGCAGGATATTGTTTGGGTCAAAGTTTGAGAATATAGTCTAGCCAATCCCATTTTCTCGAATCAGTGAGACCTATTTATCAGATTGTGAAAAGGTCAACGAACTCTCCTTCTGAATCTGTTTCTGAAATGAATGATTGATTTTAAAGCTACCCTTGTTTTAGGTGGGGTGAATGTAACGTTGGCAACTTCTATGCCGATGCCTTGGTGGACAAGAATATATATCCACCGACCGATACAGCCTGGAACAACGTATCTCTTGCTGTATTGAATTCCGGAGGTATCAGGTCTTCAACATTCTATCCTGGAGGTATGGCACCATTTTATGTTGAAGCGACTCTGTATTTAATATTCTGCGCATTCCGTAAACAGAATACTCTCTAATCCGACGCTCGAGAATGTATTAGGTCGGACATTTTTTTTAATAAATCATGTAAATTAAAATTAATTTGATTAAAAAATTGCTTGCTAAAGATACACTATAAATGGTGGTTAT